TCATCAAGTCTGTTGAAAAGTCTGACAAGGCCGGTAAGGTTACCAAGGCTGCTCAAAAGGCTGCTAAGAAATAAGCTGATTGATATAGATATTTATATTAGTTGCTTGTCTTAAAATTAGTTTTTTGAATAAATAAAAATTTTAACTTTGTTGTAGACGTTAAGTGTAAGTTTCTGTACCATTTGCATATTGTGGGCCATGTGGTTAATCTAATCGAACGTTTGGCGTATGCACATTGTTCGCTAAAAAGACTTTATCGAGGAAGATAAAACTACGTTATTATAGTTAAAAATGCCCTTATACTATGAACCTTAGCATTTTCTTCGAGTAGAGCAGAAGGAATTTATCTGAACATAAGTCTAACGTTTCTTATCATCAATTAAGCTTGGAGTAATAAAATAAACGGCTTATTGAAAATTTTTTTGGGACATAATAGATACTGTATACAGACTTCATGCCCAGTTGTAGTAACTGTGAAATGAAGTAAACTTTTGTTGATAAGTAGCCAGCTTTAAGGAAATAGAGAGTATATTTTGGTTGGAAAATAGCATGCAAGACTGTGCTGATAGAGGGGTCCATCTTGGATTCGATGATACTAGAGATTACAACCATGCAACAGATAATCAATATAAACAACTACGTGCTAAAGCTGACGAATTATACAAAAAGAAAAACCAGCTCTCCCAACAGTCGCAACATGCCTACCAAGCTGGAGACAAGCTGAAAGCTCATGATTTGAGTGAACAGGCGAAGAAAATCTTATCACAAGCTGAGAACTATAACAGACAGGCCGCAGAATATGTATTTCGTGAAAACAATGCTGATAGTGCTGAAGATGAAATTGACTTGCATGGATTATACGTTAAAGAAGCCGAGTTTTTCTTGCAAAACAGAATCGCTGCTGCTATTAAGACCAACCAATCTCATTTGAGAGTTATTGTGGGTAAAGGGTTACATTCAGCCAACGGGATTGCCAAATTGAAACCAGCTATCGAACAAATGTGTACCGAATGTAACTTGAGTCATAGAATCGACCCAAAAAACACCGGTGTTATGGTGATCGACTTAACTAACACTCAAAATAACCAAATTCCAAACCACTGGGATCTTGCTTACGGTGGTGGACAACCTCACCAAGGCTACCAAGGCACGTCTCAACTACAATATCATCAACAATCTCACCAGAACCAACAACACAACCAACAATTTGGTAACATTAAGACCGGTAACAAGCTTGCAGATATGTTATTGAAAGCATTCTGTATGTGTATCAATAAATAATCTTTTTGTACATTGTATTTTCTACACTGAATTACTAGTAATATATATATTTAAAAACTTGAACAAGAATTAGACATAATGAAAAAGAGGACTTCTATATTAACCATCACCTAATATAATCAACTAACCAAACTAACATGCACATCCGCCTGCATCATTTTCTAAATGAATATTAATAGCGTCGTTGTAGTCGTCGCTCACATCATTGCCATTGGCATCATTCAACTCCTCCTGCTGTAATGCCATCTTGGCAATAACCTCGAAAGCCAGCTCTACGTTAATCGAGTCTTTAGCACTGGTTTCAAATACTGGGTAGTTCAAACCGCCCAACTGGTTGTTGGTTATGTTGTTCAACTTTTTTTGTAACGACGGAATCTTCTTCGAGTCATCAACATCAATTTTATTACCTATTATAATGAATGGGAAGTCCTGGGGATTGCTTACATTCGATTGAATCAAGAATTCATCTTTCCACGAAGACAAGTTATTCAACGACTTTTCATTAGTAACATCGTAACACAATACACAGCAGTCGGCACCCCTATAGAATGCAACCCCTAAACTCTGGAATCTCTCTTGACCAGCAGTATCCCAAATTTGCAATGTTACTTGCTTATTATTATCAATAGTAATTTCCTTTGTCAAAAAATCTGCTCCAATTGTTGCTTTATATTGGTGGGAGAACTTGTTGTTAACAAATTGCTGCATCAAAGATGTTTTTCCAACACCCGAGTCTCCTAATATAATCACTTTCAACAAAGTCTTCTTTCTTCCTGACATGTTTGGCTTTATTTTGGCTAATATTTCCACTTATCTAGGGCGTTCTAATGATCAACATATAAGTGCTGCTGCCATTTTTACTCGGGTCACTCAATATAAGTAGTTACACGCACGACAGATAGATGCCTTCATTATACGGTAAGATAGGCTGTGATAAGACGACTTCATATACTGTATGTGGAAATGACACTTGGCTATCTTACTGACGGTATTTCATCAAAATTGCTAGCAAAATTACACCGATTGAGCCCATTAACGACACGTAGATCTGAACACCTGGCTGCAACACTCGATAATTACAGTTGGCCCCTGAATCAAGATTCATATTCTACAAGCTTGTTGTATTCAGTCATCTACAAAACCAAGTGAATTGGAATATCTGAACCGTATTAATCCTTTTGGACGAAAAATTTATTGTTCTGCTTTAGATTTGTGGGTGCGATAACTACGTCTTACCAACCACTTATACTGTATGAACAATTGATCTTGATATACTACTAAGACAACCGTATATGTTTCCAGGATACCCAGGGATCAACTTTGACGTATATAGATTTGTAAACAAGATATTTTTGAAGAAGTTAGTGTCGATAACTGTGGTTGCTATTGCGTAGCAATCTTATGTCATAATAGACGAAATGGCGAGTATATAAATGACGGAGATCTCCACTCGGATCAATTAAACTAAAGATACACTAAAAATTATAGAACTGTTATTGCATAAAAGTTAAATAAATAGAATAGAATACTACTATGTCCAACCTTACTACATCCATCCAACTTACCAAGCAAAGTAAATATAAATTGAATAATGGACACCACATTCCAGTAACGGGGTTTGGGTGCTACGAAGTTCCAGTCGAGAAATCCAAGGAGTTAGTCTACGAAGCATTGAAAGCCGGATATCGTCATATTGACTGTGCAGCTGGGTATGGTAATGAAAAAGAAACATCACAAGGAGTGGCTGCGTTCTTGAAGGAAAACCCAGACGTAGGCAGACAGGATATTTGGTACACCACCAAAATCAGAAACCAGGACCACGGGTATGAAGAAACTAAAAAGGCTGTGCAAAAAATCAGCGACAACGTAAAGCAATACATCGAGTACGTTGATTTGGTGCTTATACACTCTCCTAAATCTAACAAGGAAAAGAGATTGGGAACATGGAAAGCTTTACAAGAGTTTGTTAACGATGCTACTAATCCTGTGTTAAACATCAAGTCTATCGGTGTTTCAAACTACGGAATTGCGCATTTAGAAGAATTATTGAATTGGGATGGGTTGTTAGTCAAGCCAGTTGTGGATCAATTGGAATTGCATCCATGGTTGCCACAATTAAAGTTGAGAAAATACTTAGTGGAACATGACATATTGGCTGAAGCATATTCTCCATTGACTCAAGGGCAAAAGCTCGATGATAAAGAGCTCTTAGACTTGGAAGCTAAATACAAGATTCCTAAGGCAGAAATTTTATTGAAGTGGTCTTTCTTACAAGGTTTTATCGTATTGGTTAAGTCCGAGAAGGTAGAAAGAATCAAGCAAAACTTAGGTGTTTTAGCTGACGGAAAGAGTGATGAATTGGACGAAACAACCCATCTTGGAAAGATCGACTTGGATTATGAGATTGTTGAGGCCTTGGATAAGCCTGAATCTCACGAAGTTTTAACCTGGGGTAATGTAGATCCAACTACATACGAGGATCCTAAATAGATTTTGATTACCTTCAAATAGAGTTACAAATGTACTTTCGTTTAATATTAGTAGTTCCCCTCAATGGAATATCTTTATTTCCGAATCTTCGATACTACACCACGTAAAGGAGTTTGTTCTCTGTATCTGCACAGAAGCCTTATCTAAACTCTAATACGACTTTTTGAAGCACGGAGTCTATTACAAATTTAACATAAACAAGTAAGATTAGAGTTAATATTGACAGCTTAATGAAGTAGACAGATAAAAGAAGTTGCATCTAGCTCAGATTTGTCCAAATACAGTACTCTACAATGCTTAACAAAATTAATAGAATTGCTTTAGTAAAATATTAGTAACTGCGCAATTGCGAATGCAATGCATCTGATATTTGTATATAAGAACACCTCTCCTCTCATATGGAACAGTCGGTTTTTCTTCATCTTCAGTAACTATTTACATATAATAAAATGGGACCAAGAACTGCCATTATTACATATTCACTCTACCATCATATTGCCTCAATGGCTACAGCAGCCAAAACTGGTATTGAATCAGCCGGGGGATCAGCAAAGATATTTCAAGTAGCAGAAACCCTTCCAGATTCCCTTCTTAAGAAATTGGGGGCTCCACCTAAACCAGATTTCCCTCTTGCAACTAATGATACATTGACCGAATATGATGCCTTTTTGTTTGGTATCCCAACCAGATACGGTAACATGCCTTCGCAATTAAAGGCTTTCTGGGATGGCACTGGCAGTTTGTGGGCTAAGGGTGCTTTAATTGGTAAACCAGCAGGTATTTTTGTATCCACTGGTTCAGTTGGTGGTGGTCAAGAGACTACAGTTATTAGTAACTTGTCTACATTAGTTCATCATGGTATGGTATTCGTCCCATTAGGATATTCACACCCAGGCATCACTTCCATGGATGAAGTACACGGTGGTTCGCCATGGGGTGCTGGTACGTTTGCTTCCTCAGATGGGTCTAGAAAGGTGTCAGACTTAGAGCTTGAGATTGCTAAAGCACAAGGTGCAAACTTCTACAAGACTATTGCGAAACTTAAAGGAATTGATAACTAGACATTTTTTTATAAATTGGATACTACAAAGCAAATTTCCTGGAATAGATTTTACTTTCTATTTGAATTTTCTAGATTGTTTCTTACTACTTCATATCGTAGATACATTTGTAAGGTTCGCAATATGCTGCGAAATGCGATATCTCCAAATACTAGAACCAAAATTAACATTCAGCTTATAATAAGTTAATAAATAAATGTTGTAGGTATTGACTGTACGACAACAAGTTCAAGTCCGATAAGCTTGAATTATTTCTTATCTCATAGCTATATGGAGAGCACGGCCAACCCAGACAAGGCTCGGGCTTAACCAATGTCCCAAAAATACATTTCATATATATCCAATCCAAAACCAAGGAATCGAATTGACTAGACTACGTTCTATCATAAAACTGGCCCCTTTGGAGATGAAAATTAAGTCAAACTAGTGATTAAGTATTGATAAATGTACAATTGGGTCTCTTATTTAAAAAAGATTATAAACAAATTTCAGTAAAATGAAATATATTCACAGGGTTTTCCGTCCTACTACCTCTGAACATAACGAATGTGTCTATTAGTTAGTGTATTATTCTGATTTATTGTATATTTATGGCCAGAAGTATGCTATTATGGAAATTTTTCATTTTGACCAACACACTACTTTCCAGAATGTCAAAAGTTCATCCATTTAATAGATCTTAATAAACCATATCAATATTACTAGAGTTGAAAAGTTTGAATAGTTGATAATATTATGTCACTGAAGCCTCATAAGCCTATAAGGCAAGAATATATCGCTAAGGTGCGTTATATTAATAATTTACCACCACCTCCGTTGAACCCCAAGTTTATAGATTACAATACAACTGAGAAGGTATCGTCCAAAACGGAATCAGAACAGTTAATGAGTTCGTTGTTCAGAAAAGAGAACTTCACTAGTTTTATAGAGTCTGTCGATGAAGAATTAGGGATGAATTTAAATTTGATTAATAATCCTGGGTTCTTGGATAATGAAAACGAATCGAGTATTTACAAAATGGTCGGTGAGAAGAATGATAACGACGATATCAAGCACGTTATATTACACCCCAAGGATAGAGCCTTATTAAGAGATGCAGGAATTGGTAAGATATCTAAATCAGAGCCAGATGTTTCGTTTTTGAGAAGAACTGAATATATCGCTGAGAAACAAATACCAAAATCAAACGGTACCTTGAACGGAAATGACGATGTTGAGGAAATTGCGGAGGCGAAGAAAGCAGAACAGGCAAATGACCCTGCTTCTCAGTTGGCGGCAGTAGAGAAAACCTTTGACGAAGCTCAAGAGACTTTGGATAATTTCACTAATTTAAAACACCCAAGCAAGAAACACTTGAAGGCGGTATCAACATGGCCATTATTACCAGATACTTCGATGATGGACACAAAGTTCTTAACACTTAAGTTTTCTGGTTCTGCTTCGATTAGTCGTGAATTGCAAATGTTGAAGAGACAACAAAAGGAGAAATACGACGAGACTTTACAAAAGAACTCTTTGGAATCAGCTATATTCAGACCAATTACGTCGGAAGACGGTGAATGGATTTCAATGTATCAAGTGCGCGATGCTAAAAAGGCTCAAGAAGTAAAGGAAAAATTGAATTCTAGTGAACGTGAGCGTCCAGTTAATATATTGGATGAACAAGAGGGAATCGAGGACTACAAATTTAAGCATAGCAAGGACTACGATATGAATTTCCATCGTTTCTCGAAGCCATATGAGGAACTAGCAATTAAATTTGAACCAGCTGAAGGTGCCTCTGAAAATAAGAAAACACGGAAAAGAAAAGCTGCATATTATTATCCCGTTACAGGTAGAATTGATTTAAAGAAGCATAGGGCCTCCACTAATAGCGAAATCAATAGATTCTTACGTGATAGTGCTGTGGATGTAATTAACTTTGCATTAAGAGAACCAAATACCAATGAAATGAGAAAAATGGATGCTATTAGGTCCGAATTTGATCCAATGGATTATGAAGGTGAAGAAGACATCGCAGAAGAATTCAATGAGGCTACAAAAGACATTCCTGATCAAGATAAATCGGAAGAAAAACCTGATGCCAACAATGTAAATGCACAAGAAGATTAAGAAAATCGTTACCAATTTTACGAAACAATGTATTATATAAAATTAATATTTGTATCTAATTCAAACGTTAATTTACCTATACGATTATGCATGTAGATTTTTTTTTCAGCTTAGTTTTCAGACTGTTGCTTGATTTATTTAAGGGTGGTGACTGTTTCCCGTCTTTCTTTGTAAGTTTGTCCTTCATTTTATCTCCATTTTTATTATATCGTTGCTGCATTTGCTTTGCAATTGCCTCATCTTCTTCTTCTTGTAATTGCTTTATCAACATATAATCATCATCCGGACTAGAATACTCTATATCCTCTAGAACAGGAACGAAGTCGCCTGCGAAAAATAAATCATCCTTACCAGATACTGAGATAAATGATTGCCAAACAATGTCTTTATAAGATTTATCAGTCCTGTGGAATGAAGCATCAGTAAGTAACGTATAGAAGTCATTTTCATCTTTCTTATAAAGAGTGCTAAAGTGATTATTCCTGAAGAAAACAATAAATTCTTCAGCCTCTAATGTTCTATTCAAATGTTTCATTCCGGCATCAGTCAATTGTGTCGGATTGTTATCTAACCATGCCTTTATCATCCTTTGCTTTTCTTCAATCTCAATTCTCAAATCCTCTTGAATATCATTTCTTGGTTCATAAAGCAAAAAATCTTGGATCTTATCAAAGGTTTGTAGGTCACGAAAGGCACCTTGCAAAGAAACATCATTATCCACGCCAGGAAGGATCGAACTAGACGACGGACTATAATACCAACCATGCCTGAGCTTTAAGTCAAATACATCAAATAATGTTGTTGATAAATCTTCAGGCGGAAATTCACCATCGACGAGATTCGGATTAACAGAAAGCCCAGTATGTAACAAAGGTAAACTTTTCAATAGATTATCAAGATTATAATTGGAAACCTTGTTCTGATAGACTTCTAACATAACTAACAATATATCCCCCAATTGGGCTAGCAATTTAGTTAGTGTAATTGACCCTGCGTTTAAGTGGTCTTTTAACAATAACAGCTTCAAGTTGTTTATTCCATCAGATTTTCTTTGTCTGTTGACTTGAAATTCGTCTTGAATTGGGTTGAACGTTTCATTCCGGATGTCTATTTCATTCTTCAACAATAATGTGTTCACGAGGGCAATTAAGGGACAGGGACCATTCAAATCCTGGAGTAAAATAGGAGTACGATGTTCGTATTCAGACCACGTAATTACTTTTATTTGAAACACATTTGAAGATTCTGCGTCTTCAGGATTAATAAACTGGGACATATTTATTAAGCTGTTAGTATATCTCCTTCATACTTCAATTGGATAGAGTGTGTTATTTGGCTATGCAAGGGAGTTTAATTAGGATCGGCAATTTTCAGCCTTCCGAGATCTCTCGCACTTATCAGGCTATACAAAAGATGCAAAATGTATCTCATATTAATTAACGTATATAATGACATGTAATGTACTAAATTAAACTTACCCAGTTGTAGCAAGTGAATGTGCTATCAATTAATATACAAAATAAGTAATAGCACCAACAACGATTAAAAGACTTATTCCTACAGCTAAATTACATTTAGTTTCTTCTAAGTTAACAGTTTCAGCAACTTGATCGTCAACACCGGCTCTCTCTAAGATATTGTGGTTGATCTCTTGCTTTTGTTTTACTACACCTTTTGGAATAGCGTTTTCTGAAGGGTACATCAACTCGCAAAATTGTTCAATTTCACCACATTTAATGCCAATCTTTAAATAGTTTGGGTCTTGCACAGATGACTTATGATTAATTGCTTGAACATAGTGTTTGAAGATTTTTACAACCCCTGGTAAAGTACGGCTATTAAGGATCAAATGGCATGTAGTACCCTTTCTTATTTTAACATTTCCATGAAGAACATTTGGGTTATTGTAGACTAAGGCTAAAGTAGCTATAGCCATCACCTGAGGTATAGCACAGAAATTGAAACATGAAGGGTCCCTCACTAAGGACAAATACGTCAAAACGTCTTTAACATGACATAATGCGTTCAAGACTAATTCGTTAATACAAGCTAAACCACGTTCTTGACTTTCTAAAGATGCATCTTTATGAAATGACGGTAAAGATGGCGTATGTTTTTCCCAGATTTCTTTAGGCCAGAATGATCTTCCGTCTTCCAAGTCTTCATGGTAATCTCTAATGATATTAGTTTTTGCAAAAATAAGCCCATAGATTCCGATTTCGCAAAATTATCTTGGGCAAGGCTGTTGTCAGAAAAACCAGCTAAAACCATTAATTTGGTCAATCCTTCACCCACTAAACCTGCAACGTAATGACAATATAAATCATATTCTTTGATGGTGGCCACACCGTTAACATTGAAATTTTCATCCAAGATGTAGTCTGCCATACCGTTACCCATTTCTTTAGTAATATGCTTGATTATATCTTGGTAATCTTCCTTCAACTTGTGATATTCTTCTAAAATACATGGAAACTCAACTAACACGCATCTGTCCTTCTCGGTCTTACTATTCCCATCAAAAGACCAATCCTTCAAATTCAACTTATCGTGAAATGTTCTCAACAATGGAACCTTAATTTCTGGATCAATAGACATATCGTCTTCAACCGTGTCTAATGCCCTCAAAATCAAATAAAACAACATGACAGCATCTCTCAATTCTGGGTGTAATTCTTGAATAACAGCAGCAAAAGAACGCGATGTTACGTTTAACAACTCGTAACATCTCTTTGATGCTTGTGACTGTTTCGATTCATCTTGTGGATGTAATGGCTTTCTGAAATACAACAATTGTATGACAGCTTTCAACTCACTTGGATGAGAAATCAATTGGACAAATTTACCCATGGCTGAAATTTAAATAATTAAGAAACGAAAATATTACTAGCAAAAACTATTCAACGACCAAACCAATAATAGACTAACCTATGAGATTTTAAGCCTAGCAAGTTATCTTAATTAAGTTTAATGAACCAGTAAATTAAATATTTCGTACCGATTAATCTTTTCATCGTATACATATTGCTGAACTTCGCGTCCTTCCATAACAAAAATTCTGTCAATGATAAACGATACACGTGATCGAGAGCTACGGGATACGACTAGGACTACAATACATAGGTTAAGTTAATAAATAAGTCCATTATATTACAAAATAAGACAGGAATATATCACTTGGTAGTTTCAATCTTTTCAAACCACTTTCTAGCGGCTTTTATGTTCTCTAGTACCGCTAATTCCTCGTGAGTGTTAACATAGCTAGTTTCATCTTCCTTATCCTTGAGAATAATCATAACTAACATGTTATCAGTGAGTACGTCTATGTAGAACTGGTTGCCCTTGGAGCCTCTTATGACCAAATTGTGGAAATTTGTTCTTAGTTTGGTGACGGATTGCTTGTAGGTTTTTATTATGCTCGAGATTTTTTCAAACCTCTTGGGGTCTAGGGCTGTGGTGTCGATATTATTGTCGTCTTCAAGATGCAGTCTATTCTGTTGCTTCAATTGTTGTGCGATTGAGGTGGTCGATGAAATTACGAGGAAGGTGGTCTTCTCAAACAAGATGATTTCTTCGGCATCCAATATCTGGTTGAATTTGATCAAGTTGTTATTATACACGTTCATGTTGGGAATTAACGAACACACTATCTGCGACCAGGCCTTGTACAACGACTCGTCCCATATGGATGTGGGCAAGCCTACCAACTTGAACTGGTATGGGTTTGAGATCTTCTGCAATTTTTCCATCATGATGACAAACAACTCATCTCGCTTGTCAATCTGTACTAAATCCATCTTATGTAACAATACAAATACTTTAGCATCTGGGCTGAATTTCTGTAGGTTTGTTAACGATTTTACAAAAATTTCGATATCTTTATTAATCAGCTTAGACTCAACATCAAATACATGTATGAGCACCTGAACCATTTTAAATATATGATCCTTCTGGGTGGTGAAATAATTATCCATAAACACATCCTGACCCCCACAGTCCCATAAATTCAACGTCATATTTCCTAAGAAGCGTAAATGGGAATGTTCAACATCAATTGTTGCTCCTAGTCTTCGGGTATCAAATGCTGAATAATTAGAGAAAATTATTGACCGCATCGAAGATTTACCTGAACCCGAGCGGCCCATCAATAATAACTTCTTCCTGGATGCCTGTGACATTTTGTAATACAGTATATTCCAGTTTTATGCTTTTTTTGTGTCTAATGTGTACAGTAAGGTCCTTATCTTCACCTCGAACGGTTATGTAGATAGTGGTTTTCACACTACCATATATCTTGGTATGTCAACTTGGAAGACGAATACTTCTATATACTTAGTGTACAATATGCCAAAGGAGTCTTCTATAAGTGCTGTATCAACAATATAATGTACCTATAGAGCGTAATTACATAAAATTGATACTTGAAAATAATGATGTGTGGCCCTTCCTAAGACTATAATGTAGTGCAGTTTAAGTAAGTTCATTAATACGAAATAGTAAGTATGCATGCCAAAAAAAAGACAATATTGCATACAAATGATAGAAAACATCCGTGTGCATATTCTTTGCTCAATTATATGAGAGTAAGTATTCTCGTAGGGTTCCTGGTTCCTTTAATATGCACTTATTAAACCAGGAAACGCACAAGGATGGATACAAAAGATATATCCGGAAGATCAAAGCTTATATAGCTACGTTGGGATTCATAGAGCAACAATATAGTAGACACGAAGAAAACTTTGATGTATGGTAAGAAGATTAAACCGGGCGAAATGAATTGATGGAACATGTGGTCTCATAAATTTGAGAATGCATTAACTTTATTGTTAACGCAAAATAACCGAATATGTTGCAAGTCGACTACTACTTATAAGCAGGAACCGAAACTTACATATATACTAATATATTTTCCTAGGATCCTTTATTTCATTCTATATTTTGCAAACCTAGGCCACAGGTAATTTTCCAAGACGAAAAATGTTGATGTTATTGAAATATCTTACGTACTGCTTAGTTTTCGCAACCGCAACTGTATGGGGTCACTTAATACCAGGTATAGAATCAATAAGTAAGCAATTGAACCGGAGAGATGGGAATTTGATTGACTCAGTATATCAGAGTTTACCAATTGAGGATTTGAATTTTATTGATTCCCATTTGAAGAATTTAACAATCGAGGGATCGTCTTGTGATAAGTGTAAGAATAAAATACGTTACAGTCAGTCGTTGGTCCAGGAGCAACCAGAGAAACAGCATTTGATTAGTTTATTGTTATTCAAGTATTGTATTATCCTGAATAAGAATAAAGAAAGCAAATGTGATAATGTGGATTTTTTCATCACAACTTCGGATGAGACCTCAAAGGTAGCTGTTGATAAGTATGATTCTGGTTTGCATGATAGCAAGAGTATAGATTTTTTCGACAATGATTTTATTCACATGCTAAAGCTATTTAATGTTTCTAGTGATTTGGATTTAGAATATTACTGTTACTACAAAAATGATGAGGCTTGCGATTTACCAGAAACTCCAGACATTGACTCGTTATATAATTTTGAAGCAAAATGGCCAGCAAAACAGCCACAACACTTTTCACAACCTCAATATTCCAACGATAGTCCAGAGAAATTTAATGTATTACATTTTACTGATTTCCATTTTCAATCGAGATACCAAGTTGGAAGTGAAAGTAACTGTACCACTGCATTATGTTGTTTACCAGAGGCTTACAATGACGAACTAAGCAGTAAAGACTATAATTTTACGGATGCTTATTCCAAACTCGATCCATCTATGCAAAGCAGAAAGGACATCGAATACTCCTTTTATCCAGAGGCCCGATATGAAGATGACGAATATGTTAAGGGACATTATTATGATTTCCCAAAGACTAGAGGTTATAATTTCAACTTGTTACCTGCCACATCTTTCGGAGGATATCTTTGTGATTCACCTGAAGTTTTAATTAATAGCAGTTTGAAGCAAATTAGTGAAGCTCATAAAGAACATAAATTTGAGTTTGCTTTGTTTACTGGTGACTTGGTAGACCACGATGTTATTCATTGTGACCCCGAAACCACTAAATACGAAGAAATTCAAACATTTAGTTTGATGAAACATTATTTGGAAAATATCCCAATTTTTCCAAGCTTGGGAAACCATGATACTTTCCCATATGGTCAATTGTCCCCAATTGATTATGATTTTAATAACCTGTATCAGTGGAATGTTGATTTAATGGCCGATTTGTGGATTTCAAATGGATGGCTAGCTGCAAATAAATCCCAGCAACTCAAGAGTCACTATACTGGGTTCTCCACGGTGACTAATCGTGGTTTAAAAGTAATCTCATTAAATTCGAATTGTTATTACCAAAAAAATTTATGGTCGTATGTCAATTTGCTGCAAAACCCTGATATTTTTGGCCAATGGCAATTTCTTATAGATGAATTAGTTGAAAGTGAAGCTAATAACCAGCGTGTTTGGATACTAGCTCACATACCATCGGGCGATGCAGATACATTACCTATACAGTCTAAAATTTTTGCTAAGATTGTTGAGAGATTTTCTCCTTATACCATCGCAAACATATTCTATGGCCACACTCATAGAGATCAGTTCCATATTTTATATTCTTCCAATTCTTCTAATACAACGGAAATTGAAGATGTCATTAATATGTCTTGGGTATCCCAATCTGTTACGCCTTTAACCGACAATAACCCATCTTGGAGGTATTATGAAGTTGAAGATGAATCTTTTAATATTTTGAATTCTTATAATTACTACACACAACTTAATGATACATTCATTAATGGTGGCAATGAACCGGATTGGAAATTCGAATATTCAGCAAGAGAAGTTTATGATCCTAATGGAGAATGGCCAACCAATTCACCATTGAATGCTACTTTCTGGCATAAATTTGTTCTCACTAACTTGAAAAATCAATCCAACATCGAATTCAATCAATTGTATTCAGACTTGCAGTACAGAATGTCTCCTAAAGTACCAAATTGTGCAAACGGTTCGATGGTATCCCAAACTTGCTACGAGGAGAATTGGTGTATCGTGAGCTCCTTTACTTCCGAAGACTATCTCAAGTGTATTAAATCTTAGATGCTATTTGCTATTATGTAGAGCTCACTTATGACATGGGTGCAAATTACTTAAAATACTTCTATTAATATACATTATAAACGAGAACTATTATAGCTACTTTTACCATTGTTCCTGATTCTCATTACTCATATCTGCTATTGGATTGAAGGTTGTTGGTGCTTTGAATGACGGATCACTGGATGGAATATAAACGGATGAATCTTGTTGTGGGTTAGACGAATTCTGATTTCTATACCCACCACGACCTCTTCCACCTCTGAACCCCCCTCTACCTCTGAAACCACCTCTTCCTCTTCCTCTTCCCCTAAAACCTCCTCTATGTTCAAATCTCTTTCTGTGAAATCCATTGTCTTGTTTGCCTTCTTGACTGGCCTGTCCACCATAAACACCTCTACCGAATTGTCTACCTTCACGGAAACCTGGATCCAAATCAATTTCTAAAACCTGACTATCCAAGTTTATTCCCTTAAGGAATTTCATTGCATTTAATGACCCTTCTTCTCTTTTGTATATGACAAAGCAAAATCCACAAGGGGTCAATTTGTTTCTATCCAACCCCATAATAATTCTGTCAATTGTTCCACATTTCAGAAACAACTCGTGTATCTGTTCTTCACTAGTGAAATGTGATAAATTGCCAACGTAAACTGTTTTCAGGTGTAAGGCTCGATTTAAGTTTTCGAAATTTTGTCTACGGACAGCTTTCTTAATCAAATATTGAGATGGTCTATCTAGTCTTTCTGCTGAATGAGTGTAATTTTCTTCTAAAAGTTCCATCTTGTAGTTAATATTTAAGTGTAGAATATATAGTAGAATTGTCAGTACTTTTCCTATTGGAATAAATTATCACTGAATTTGTGAGTGCTGAAAATTTAGTAATTTGCAGGTTAATAATTAATCATAAAACTAACATTCCTCCAGATCAGCTAGCTGTAAAACCAGTAACGCAGGTGATGTTCAAGTCCATATTTAAGACAGGGATCAGAGCAATATACAATGTTCTGGAGAACCCATCATTTGTCTCGGAGCCATGGTATATTTACCCTGCAAAACATAAGACATCGGGTCAAGCGGTATCAGTATTTATATTTGACAAATCAAAATTTGAAGCTCAAATAAATAGAATATGTGCATCGAGTTCAAATACTAAGAATCCTAAAGTGATTATCAGTGAATGCTATGAACTTCTTAAATTTGAAATTAGTCAACTAGCCAAGTTGAAGCATCCACAGATCTTGACGATTTTTGAGGTTTTGGAAGAAACCAAGCTGAAATTCTTGTTTGTGTCTGAGGCAGTGACGGATAATTTGCTAACAATCAACATATCAAAGGATTTGGATGAATTGAGTATACAGAAGGGGCTTTTACAAATGGCAAAGGGTTTACAGTTTCTACACAACTATTGTCAAATAATTCATCTTAATTTACAACCATCGTCGATTTTTATAAATAGCCAGGGAGATTGGAAATTATCAGGCTTTAGGTTTCTACAGAATTTGAATGAAATATCGCCACTGGAAAGAGATAATTTCTTTATCATGAATAATTCTTCCGTAGTACCATTTGCAAATCTTAATTTAAATTTCACAGCACCAGAATTAGTAGTTGATAGTCTGCAGAAACTAGACCCCGCAAATGATATTTGGTCCTTGGGATGTTTAATTTATTTTGTTTATAATAATGGCGATTCTTTAATTAACTGTTTTGATTCCAATAGCATTTCAGATTTCAAGACAGAATTTAGGAAGTTTGAGAATAAATTCTACAACCACAGAGCCAGCGAACTAAAATACTTACTAAAATCTGTGCCAGATAAGCTTTACCATGTATTTTCACAAATTTTAGCTAGATACCCTCACGATAGATTGACAATTGATCAATTTATAAATTTGGATTTTTTCAATGGTAGTATGATTAAAGCCATGTGGTTTATTGACGAATTTTCTACTAAATCAACAGACGAGAAACTTGTTTTTATGAGAGGACTTTTGCAAACTGATAAAACAACTAATAGCACTTTATTGGAGCAATTTCCATCGGGATTCAAGACACTGAAGATTTTACCATTAATGATTGATTTAATCATAAACGAATTAAGCTTGTTGAATTCTAAACAGATTGAAGCTGATGTAGATGAAGCAATTTCGCATTCTCTTGCAATAACACTTTCAATTGGTTCAAAACTTTCTAGCCTTACATTTCAGGATAGAATTTATGAACACCTTTTTAAGGATGAATCAAAAACTAAAAAGTCCAATCAAAAGGATATATTTAATAAGCTCATTAATGCGTCAGTGAAAATACGGTTAAATATAGTGGAAAACTTACCTACATTAGTATCTAAATTAAATGAGAAACAATTATCTGCTGTTATTAAGCAGTCTCTTTCTCTTTTCTTAACTTCATCTCCTACTGAAGCTAGTCAACAACAAGAGCAAATTAAATTACAAGAATTGTTCCTCCATCAATTGAATTTAATTATTGAAAAGTTGGATTTTCCTTACATCAAAAACACATTGTTTCCATTGATCTGTCAGGTGTTTAAAACAACTACCATTTTGTCAACTAAATTGGCTACGGTAGATACATTTGGAATGTTGATAGATAAGAGGATTATAGATAAAGTGATTGTATGCGAACAATTATTACCAATTTTACAGAATTTGAAGAGTCGTAATAAGAAGATAATTGAAAGTGTTCTTAAGTTTTTTGTCAGACTATGCGAGAGTGAACATGTGTCTTTAGACTTGGATTCAATTGTAGAGTCTGTCTTACCCCAATGCTTTAAATTAACGTTTGGATGTAATGATTGTAGCCAATCCGAGTTCAAGACATATATGAAAATGGTTCAACAAATCCAAACTAAAATAATCGAAAGCAAGATAAATTCATTGCCCGTGAATACTAGAGATGCATCAGTTGCAACCCCTGTCAGCAACTTCGAATCATTAATTAATACTCAAAAACTTAATGAAGGTGACAAGGACCAGATCACTCGTGCACCTCAAACAAAAAATATAATGCAACCGACTAGAAAACCTACAGAAACAAAGTCTCCAGTACAAAATTCTACGCTTAAACCAAAAACCACAATACCACTAACATTGAAACCTAAACAAAAGGTAGCTCCTAAGAAACCATTATCCTTTGGTGCGGTTAACAATAATACCAACACTAACAATACAGCTCTCTTGAATACATTACATGGAACTTTTAATCAACCTTCAAAAGGAGAAAAAGAAGAAGAAGATGATGATGAATTCGATGAGTTTCAAAATGCCGAGGCTATCTCAAATACTTCGCCTATCAATTGGAACACTGAAATGGGACATACACCACAAACTACAAACTATCCGCCCGGATTCACCTCATCAATGGTATTAACACCGAACAACACAGGAAAAGGCATAATTACTAATAAAACTGCATCGCATTCTAATAATTCTGATCTTCTAGATCTTTTGTAAATGATTTTAGTCTCAATAGATTACTAATAAATTTCGACTATAAGATGACTGTAGAAATGCGCATTCAATCCTCAGCTAATTAAGGTACTTTAAGCTCTAATTGATTATTACTATGGGATATCCGAAAACATTAAAAGCGGTTTCTAGGAAATTGACTAACAATATTGTAATTGCATCATGTGGCTTTACTAGAGTTAATACTCTTAATTTTGGAGCTAGAATGGCTTTGTTTAATTACGATAATAATATTGTAGTTTGGTCTGCAATTCCTTACGGAGATGAGGTTATTAAGGCATTGGAATTATTAACAGGAAGCAACGAGGGTGCATTCAATATCACACATTTGGTTATTCCAGATAAAGAACATACAATGGCTGCTAGATCATTCAAATCGAACTATCCTAATATGAAAATTATCGCAATGGAAACGGTGGATTTGGGCGCAGACTGTCCAATTGACTACACAATTAAGTCGAAGGTAGCTAACAAGCTAATTGATAAGCGTGTATTATCAGAAGAAATAGGAATCCAAGACTCAGTTATTTTAAATAACTTTGAATTTGTATATCTACCAGTACATGCAAACAAGGAACTAGTCATGTTTGATAAGAATTCCAAAATCCTTTTCGAAGCTGATTTGCTTTTCAATTTGGGGGTTCCAGGTACGACCTCAGGAAAGGTCAAATTGGAGCAATTCTCTACATCTACTGGTTATTCGGAGAATTTCAGACCACACCTGGGCCGCTCATTTTTAACTAGGTATCTTCAACCCAATAGCAAGGTAGGAAACTGGCTTGCCAATTCAGTTACTAAGACAAGTAACCCTGATTCTCAAAAAGGGTTAAGAACGATCTACAATTCGTGGGATTTCGAGAAGATTGTAATGTGTCATGGTAACATTATTGAGAATGATGCTAAAGGTGCTTTCAAGAGTGTATTCAAAAGCGCATTGAAATGAACAACATTATTTATTAATTACCTGAAAAGCATATTTGCTTGTTTTCATATATCTGTAATTATAGTTTTATTAATTTACTACATAGTGTATATTTTTACAAAAAAGAAATCTACCGTATATTGTATCATTATGGTAATAAATATGCCGAGCAATTTTTGCGGTAGGGATAATCACTAATTGTATCTTAACAACAAGACAATTATGGGATATCCTAACCCTTTGAAGACGGTTTCACGTTCATTGACAGACAATATAGTTATTACATCATGCGGGTTTTCGTGTGTTAAAGTATTTAATTTTGGTGCTAGAATGTCATTAATTAAGTATGGCGATGAAATTATCGTATGGTCACCCATTCCTTACGGAGACGAAGTTATAAAGGCATTAAATTTGTTGACAGGTAATAGTAGTGGTGTATTCAACATTGCATACCTTATTATTCCAAATAATGAACATAATTTGGCAGCTAAATCGTTTAAGGCTAATTATCCTAATATCAAAATTATTGCGCTGGAGTCAATAGATTTAGGGTTGGAATGCCCAATTGATTACCGCTTTACTAAAGATATTGGCAATACACTAGTTGATCAAAGTGTATTATCTGAAAAAGTCGGCATCCTGAGTCCAGCAATTTTGAATAATCTTGAATTCGTCTATTTACTGAATTCCGCCAATAAGGACTTGGTGATGTTTGACAAGAATTCGAAGATAATGTTTGAGGCTGATATTCTTGTAAATCTAGGTATCCCTGGATCAACTTCGGGTAAAGCTACGTTGGAGCAGTATTCTACGTTGACTGGCTATCCAGACAATTTCTTACCTCATTTTGGTTTGTCCTTCTTTACTAGGTACCTTCAGCCTTATAGTAAAGTCGGAAATTGGTTAGTTAGCCGCATAGCCAATAGTGCTAATCCCAATTCTCAAAAAGGTTTGAAAGCTATCTATGATTGGGATTTTGAACAAATAGTTATGTGTCATGGAAACGTTATCGATAGAAATGCTAAACTGACATTCCAGAACGTTTACCAATCTGTGCTTGGTTAAACAATTTTTATATCTTTTGTTTCTTTAAGTTCTTTTGTTTTCATTTGTTAGTTAAAATGACTTACATTTGAATGATAATTTAGTTTTTTGACATTATGTAGAATATGAGTAAAATTGTTGAGTTCATAATTATTATTGTGGGGGCTCTGAGTTAAATGCATATCAGCTGCAAATTGTAGTAAAAGCCGAGCATGAGAACAAACTCGGTTTTTATCTCAACATTATCAAGATTTATTCCTTTTAATATAATTCAGATAAATCCTAATATAATAAAGATGACTAGAGATTTACAAGTAGATGTCAAACATGAACTTATTACACACCCAATTTATCAATCTTATTTGGAAAAATGTGAAAAGCACACAAGAGACAATAATTCACCGCTACTAGAAGAGAATATCTGGCCGGTACTTACGGGAGAAACGCTTGTTGGTAGCGGCAAAATTAATTATAGAGGTGATTCCATGTACATGATAGATGATAGATACCTTAATTCAGAAAATGATATTGAGAAGCTTGGTCCTCAGGATAATAATAGAGCATATACGTTTTTTCACTTGGGCCACAAATTATCAGGCCATCAGAAGATAATACATGGTGGGTTATTGGCTACAATGTTAGATGAATTGACTTGCAGATTGGCGTTTCAAAACAATCCTTCAGGATCTGGAGTTACAGCTAACTTAAACATCAACTATAGACAACCATGCTTTGTAAACACGTATGTTCTAATTAAATGTGAAGTGTCACGAAAAGTAGGAAGGAAATGTTTTGTGAAAGGGTATGTTTATAAGGTTGATCTAGATGACGAAAGCCGAGTAGTTGAAAGGTCTGAAAATTTGTTGACTGAATGTGAATGTTTAGTTATTGAGCCTAAATGGGTTAAGGATTTAAAACATCATTAAAGCTGCCAGCAGCTGTGTACTGTCGTATTAGACTCTTTTATTAATTTTCATTGCCTATTATTTATTGCCTATTATTTATTATCTATTATTTATTATCTATTATTTATTATCTATTATTTATTATCTATTATTTATTATCTATTATCTATTATTTATTATTTATCATTTCTTATTTATCATCTATTATCTATTATTTATATATGAAATATATTATTTAGAGACTATCAGTGCCTTTGACTTTGCTTTGGCCAATTTCCATCTTTGCACTTTTAGCTCCAAATTGGATGGCTCGTTTCAATTCATCTTTCACCCAATGCAACTTCATGTATTCAGCCAATTTTCTTAATAACCATTTTCTGATAGGTTTCATCACTAACTTTTCACCTTTCTTTTTTGTCTTTACTAATTCCCAATTGAAGAATAACTTCAAATTAGGTTCAACTTCATTAATGACATAATTAATAAGCTTTTCATCAAGATATGGATACCTTAATTCCTTACCCCAGGATGAAATCACTCTATCGTCCCTTCCCAAGTTTCGCTCATGAATAATTTTTATATCATAAATCAAAGAATTAGACAATTCTTTGTATTTAGCAAGCATTTGTTCTTCATAATTTGAATCATCTGGTTTAACTAATGAATTGAATACTGATTCATGTCGGGAATAACCAGCGAATAATTCATCGGCACCTAAGCCAGAAAATAACACCTTTGCATGAGACGTGTAGTTATTCTGTACATCTATGTATTTTGATTCATTTAGTACAAATTCTTCCCATGTTACGCTTGTATCATTTAGATCCAATTTTAAACCATTTTCACACTTACTTGCAAAGTAAAATGCAATTGCTATTGACAAGTCCATTTCAGTGTTACAAGGATACATCAACTTTTCTACTCTTTTTTTATTAATCAACCATTCCTTATAACCAACATTAATTTCGATTAACCTTATCGAAAAATTATCATTATTAAACAATTTGCATAAGTGAAACCAAGACTTCTTACTTAGCTGTCTATCTGGAGATTCGGAAGCCTTCAAATTTGTTCTAGGGTTATCGAAACCTACAGTAATTAAGTCAATTTTGGAATTTGGGACTTGTTGTAAGTTTTTACTTATCAAGGCTGCTAAGACTGTACAGTCTAATCCACCGGAAAATAAAATACCAATATTTGCTTCATTTATATCTGGGTGTAACGGCTGTATGGTAGACTGTCTTATGTAGCATGCGTCATTTAAGGTCTCAAACAATTTAGAAAGTTTATCATCTACGGGTTTATCGAAGTTAAACAAACTAGAAAGTGGACTAAAATCTAACTTGTTAGACGAGCCATACTTATCCCAAAGCGATTCGTAATAGAAATTACTTATAGTTAAATCTTTCAAGTTGACTACCTTGATTTCATTGCTAATACACTCTTTGAAATTATTGCTGTGACTTGGAGGTAAAGAACTGATAATGATATCAGAACCACCCTCTATTGAACCAGAATCATCAATATTATAGAGCAACGATCTTCGACCAATGTAGTCTCTTCCAAAATATAGTTTTGACTCGATAAGATCGTATATAGTGAATGCAAATTCTCCGTTTAGCTCTGTTATGGTCTTTAATATACCTTCATCTCTGCTAAACAGTAAAATATTTTTAACAAGAAGTTCCATTATAAACTCTGTATCATTTGAATGTAAGCATTCTGGGTTATATAGCTCTCCATTGAATTGTAGGATTAGGTCGTGATTTTGTATGGGTTGAGAATAAAATGGTTGCCGTAATGATAGGATTGATGAAAAAAACTGGAAGCTATTATTAGAATCTTTAAAGTGCAAGTACAGCAAGTAGTCTGGTCCCCTACTTGCTATTTTTATCATTAATGATCCGAACATATCCAGGGTGCCACTATTGTGTTCTTCTTGTAATTCTGTTCCTATGATCTCATCGATCTTCGCTTGTATTTCAATTTTAGCAGCATTTGTTTGATCGGTCTTTTTTATGACATTATTCAACTTAATTAGCTGGGAATTAAGGCTTCTTAATTCTTCAAGATTGGATAATTTGTTCTGATCTGAAATATTGAGTTTCAAATCGTTTTGCAAATCAACGTCAATAAAATTTTTCAGAATATATTCCAGATCGTCACTTTCCCATTTAGTGAGATTACCTTCAGTGTTAAGAGGAGTAAGTATTGGTGGGTGGTTTATTTCACCACCAACTTTCACGCGGCAGAGTATACCACACATTGCTTCTGTTAATTATAACTTAGGAATATTGAAATATCATTGATAAGTAAATATTTCTGCGACTGCGTATGCAAGTTGAACGATGCGGTGGAAAAGCTAGGATTGATGCTACAAAAATCAACTACTCTTAACCATGTACCACCACTATCTATAAAAAAATGAATTAATAACTAATTAAGAAAATATATTACTTTCAATACAATAACTTATGTCTTCATTTTCGGAATGCATATACACTATTCGTTGGAATATTTAAAGCCTAACTCTTTTTTGCCTTTTGAGACATATATTTCAATGCCTCTAATACCAGCTCTTCTTTATTAACAGGCACAAACAAATGGTCATGAAAGAATCCACTAACAGGGTTTACTCCAATACTCAAATTTTTTAGCGTGTCGAGAATACGAGCCAAAAACCCTACGGCATCAAGACTAGAATGGATATTTAAAGTTATCATACGACAAGGAAATTCGTAATCGAAACCCATTTCTTCTGCAGACAGTTTAGAAGTAATGACAGTCAAACCTTCTGCTTCTTGGAAAACCATTACTTGTGGTTGTAAAGATGGAGGAGCAGTTTTCTCTGACCTAGGTAAAGTAACGAAGACAAATGTTTCCGGATGTAAAGTAGGGTTCATTGAAGCTAATAAAGTATCAAGCTTTTGCTCTCCAACACTCATTCTGTAAATCTATCTATTCAACAAGTAAATAAGGTATTTTGTTATACCTGAAATATGAAAAATCTTACTTTATATAGCCTGTAAGTATATTGCGCTAATTATCAATTGCGCATCTTGTAGATTTTTACTAAATTGTTACGATGAAATATCTACGACTTCTTAATACCAAAACTTTATATATTTAACTTTTTAAAGACGATTCAATCATCTCATATTTACAGCCCATACCAACCCGTAGCATGGCTCAAAATATCAGTAATATACATAATATACAAGACCATTAGTTAACATTAATCAACCCTTTACCACTTTCTCTTAAATGAGCAATTAACTCATTGTTTTTAAATTCATCAATTATATCGTTAAATCTACCAACTGGAAGACCACCAACAAACAATCTAGGAATCTCCCTGGTAGGGGTAGCTTGTTCATCTTCATCCTCATCATCGGAAACTTCTTCATTTGAAGACCCATATTCATGCTTGGAGTATTTGTGCAAGTAATCCACAATCTCGGTCTGATGTGGGTGCTTGGACAAATTAACCACTTTGGGTTCGGGGTTAATGCTGAGTGACTTGAACAAAATTTCAAGAAACTTATTCTTTTCTGGAGACGAACTTACGTCATCGTCAAGCAAAATAGTAACAGGAGAGATCAGCATCATCTCCTTCAAGTCAAATGCAACGTTGACAGTGTCTGACGCCATTGCAGTAGCCGAGGGTCTATTACTCTGCTTGATATGATCATCCAACTTCAAAATCTCTTCTGTTACAGTATTCGACTCACTGAGCGAGCTCACGTCTAATAATCTCACGTCATTCGTAGTGGTAGGACCTTTACGGTTCCAACGCATGCCAGGTTGGTCAGTTGTTCCCTCTTCGTGAGCTTTTTGGTGGTAGAGTTGATGCATTAACTCTGCCTGCTCCAACTTGAATTGATCAGTCGATGAGATCTCAGGCTTATAGCTACGTGCTCCTTTTAGTCCCAAAAAAACCAATAATAACATCAAAATGGGAATGAGCAACAATATACCATCTTCCAAACGGTATTTTCTCTTCTTTTCTGGCTCGTCCTCTGTAATTAACTTTTCGATATCCGAGTCGAACTGCTTCCCACCTGAATGTCTTCTTTGCAGCTGCGTCATTTTGTGCACTCTTTTCAGCAATACTACTCTTATTTAATTTTAAACTCTTCTATTAGAATAAAACAAAAAAAATTGAAATATCAAACAATATTGAAACAATCACCCGATTAACAAATTAAAGACCAACTAATTCTAGTATTTAAACAATAAAATCCAGTTAATCTAGTAAACTAAATAAAAAACGAAAAAGTCTACTTATATTTGTATCTAAAAGAAATAGTTATGTCAAAAGCCTCTATTTTCTACAGGGAAAGACATCAAATATATACTTTGATAATACGAACAATAGAACAATAGGATTAGAATTCATTCTTCTGGGGTCAATAAACGATCTAGAAGTCGCGCTTTACCAGTCGCGGTATGTTCTGCAGGCGGCAAGTCAGTAATTTCGCATGTGGGCTGCCCGCCTTCAGTGTGAGCTAGTAATGAACCCTCAGAATGAGGAGACAGATTACAGTTTAGGCAGTCATGTAAATTTGGTGAGTGAATAGGCGAGTAAGCTAGCTCGTAAACTTTAAAAGGATGAAAGTGAAAAGCTATTCAAATAGGAGTAGGATAGCCGAGAAGCGGATGCGTATATCCTTAGTGACCATGGAATACACGGATATGCGCGGATAGTGTATTTAACGACTACTGGAGCTCGATGATGGAAATGTTTTTAGAGAGCGTATGCACAATGCACTTTTAACCTTAGATAGGAAATCGGAGACCCATTCAGGGACTTTGAAAAGGCATTAAGGCATCATTGGGCATCTTTTGATCACACGACCGTTCAATCCAAATGGAATGTAGGATAACTTTAATCATATATTCGTATGTGGGATAAATCTAAACTATAGAACTTGAACAGTAAAAATGTTTAAATTAGAACTGTTAATAATAAAACCATAGCAGTTGTAGATATAACTCTAGAAGTCTAGACTATAATAAAAAAATTATGAATGGAGAAAAATAAACGGATTGCGGGAATACCGTAAGACCGAACCGAAAAAATAATGGAAGGTCTTAGAGGCTCCAGAAATCAGTTAAGTTACCACCACCACCATTATAGGCCAACAAATTAGGACTCAAACCGTCAGTCAACTCATTTATGACACCTTTAGTACTATACTTGAGCAATTTAGATTTTAAGGAGAGTGGGTCGACTGGCGATGCGTACTGCGAGGATACTTCAGGTTGTAACGACAAGTAGTACGACAAAAGCCCGGCGATATGTGGTGATGCCATCGAAGTTCCCGACATGGACACCGTCTTACTCCACGTGAATGTAGAGAGGATGTCTTCACCAGGAGCAAAAACATCGACACATCTCCCAAAGTTGGAGAAACTGGCTTTAGCATCCTTGTTGTTCGTAGCACCGACAGTAATTGGACCAGTGGCTCTAGCTGGAGAGTATTCGCATGCATCCTGGTTATCGTTACCGGCAGCAACTGCGATATGCAAACCTGCTTTAGTTCCAGCGTTGACTGCAAGATCTAAAGCTTCCAGGATACCTCCTCCAATTGACATATTGACCACTGAGCCCTTGAATCCTTTCTTCTTACCGTTTGAGTTGGCCTTATGGTCATTGACCACAAATTCAAGACCTTTGATAATATCTGACGTAGTACCAGACCCTAAAAGGTTCATGACTCCTACAGCAACCAAATCTACTTGCTTAGCGATACCGTATGTCTTACTTCCAATAATACCCGCACAATGAGTACCATGGCCATGACCATCAAGCTTGAGCTTAGGCAATGGGACAACTTCTCCCCATTGCGCTCTACCTTCGAACTCTTCGTGTTCCACCTTGATCCCTGTATCGACAACGTATGCAGTAACACCTTTACCACCTTCATTATCAAACAAATAATCGACGGTGGGTGTCAATTCACGATGACTGATTCTGGATAACCCCCATGGTGCCTCCTTTTCCACATCAAATTCGTTAGTATGGAATACAGTTTCGCGTTCAACGAACTTTACCATAGGATTATGTTGGATTTTTGCGAGCAAGGCATCAGAAAAATACCCCGAATAACCACTTACTAAGTCATGGATATTAAAAAAGTCTACTGTAGCGTCTTGACGCAATTTGGCAATTTTTCTCCAAAAGTCGTTAACAGAACTATCTCCTTCCGCAACCATCAGCTTGTATTCTGCTTCGACCCATTCCTTGTGCAGCTCCATCTGTTCAGCATCAAGACCTTCTTTCAATACAATCACATATTTGTGAGGAATAAACTCACCTTTAAGTCCCTTGTTGAGTAGTGGCGCAAACCCCTTGTGTTCTTTTTGAGGTGTATCCACCTGCTTTCCAATTCTAATAGAGTCTGATAACTCGTCAATCCCCAAAATTGATTGGAGATTAGGGATAACCAATGCCGATGTTATCGACACCTGTATAGCTGTAGCCAATATAGCAGTATGTAACTTCATTATTACTAAATATAGTAAAGAAGAACAAGCGTAACTTTCGCCTCCAGCTTTCCTTATCTATAGATGATGCATTGTGTCACACACGACCATCTTCTATCGACCGCTCTATAAAAGAAGAGTAGATTATTTTAATCTTAGATGCTGGGTTTTTAAAGAGTGAAATATATAGGATTGGATAAGACATGTAGAGGTGTTTATACTATTCCTTGGACGTCCCGTTTTGGACTTGCAATTTGGGATATGCCAATGAGAAATTGAGGAATGGTTCGAGTTAATATAGACAATATTTAGAACGGGCCAAAAGTTGGCAAATTCGATCACAATGGCCCCTTGTAGCCTTTGAAACTTAGGAACATCTTTATATGGTGAACCACTCCCAACTTGTTTCAATTGTCGCTTAGGTGATAATAGGGTGTAATACAGAATCAGTACTCAAATATACGCTGAATCACCCTCCTTATAGTGCAATGCAGCGTAATTAACATACTGTATTTTTGACCACGTACGAATAAATCGGTTTGTTCATATCGTCAATAACATGGAATAGAAGGTTTCTTCTATTATTCTACACACCAACTTCAAATAAAAAGACATGTCGAGTAGAAGAAGAGCATACCCACAACCACAGTATGCTGCGACACCGGCGGTTCCTGCTGTTGACCCGCAATTCCAGCAATTTCAACCTCAACAGGCTCAAGGTCAACCACAACAAGCTCAAGGATACGGGGCGGGTAGTCCAGCATATGGAGTGGATCAAGTTAACCAGCAATTTCAAAACATGAATGTCGGCGGAGGAGCTGCAGGCCAACCAGTGGCTAATCAATATCTGGGACAATATCAACCACCACCTTCACAAGCCAATCCCCAGGCGCCATACCAAGCACCTGGAACAGACTCGTTTGCAAATCAATTTGCCCAGCATCCTCAATATGCACAGCCAGGTATGGTTGGGGGTGCTGCAGCTTTGCCATTGAATCAATTGTATACTACTGATTTGTCGAGAGAATTGCCTCCATCAATTACTGATTTGTCATTGCCTCCACCTCCAATAGTTTTACCAGCTAATTCAGTGGTGGTTCCTACATCCGAAGACTCAAATGCTCCTCCTGAGTACTTTAGATCTACGTTGAACGTTTTGCCAGCAAATAATTCTCTTTTGAAAAAGTCTAAGTTACCATTGGCATTGGTTGTCAGACCTTACAACACCTTGCACATCGATTCAGAAAACATTCCTGTGACCTCTGATACAATTATCAGTAGATGTCGTCGTTGTCGTGGTTATATCAACCCATTTGTGACATTGACTGAACAAGGCAGACGTTGGAGATGTAATTTCTGTAACTTGCAAAATGATATTCCGAGTGCCTTTGATTACGATGAACTTACCGGAACTGCTAAGAACAAGTTTGATAGAGTTGAATTGAACCATTCGGTTGTTGAATTTGTGGCACCAAAGGAATACATGGCAAGAACTCCCCAACCAATTGTTTATACTTTTATTATTGATGTTTCTATTGATGCAGTTAATAGTGGTTTAACGAGTACCATCACTAGAACCATTTTAGAGAGTTTGGATCGTATTCCAAACGAGAATAAGACTGCAAGAGTTGCTTTCATAGGGGTTGATTCCAACTTGCACTACTTTAAATTCAATGAAGGTTTAGATGGCACTGATTTATTGATTGTCTCTGATATTGATGAACCATTTTTGCCGTCACCTGATGGATTGTTGATTAATTTAAACGAAAATAGATCTGCTATTGAGAAATTATTAATCGATTTTCCAACTTATTTTGAAGGTACTGCTAATGATAAGTTTGCCTTGGGTCCTGCTTTGAGAGCCGGTCATAAGATGATATCTAATATCGGTGGTAAGTTAATCTGTTTCACTGCTACTTTACCAAATATCGGAGAAGGGAAATTATCCTTAAGAGATGAAGCTAGTCACTCTGGTAAACCAAAAGAATCACAAATGTTATTGTCTAATGCTGATAAATTTTATAAGAGTTTTGCAGTTGAATGTAATTCAGCACAAGTTACAGTCGATTTATTTTTGACTTCCGCTAAGTACCAAGATGTTGCATCATTGGCGAATTTGCCTCGTTTTACAGCAGGTCAAACTCACTTTTACCCTGCTTGGTCTTGTGCCAAAGCTGAGGATGTCACTAAGTTATCTAGAGAAGTTAGCGAACATTTATCGATGGATATTGCATTGGAAGCAGTGTTAAGAGTGAGAGGTTCTACAGGAATTAGGATGAGTTCATTCTATGGTAACTTTTTTAATAGATCTTCTGATTTATGCTCATTCCCTACATTCCCTAGAGATCAAAGTTATTGTATTGAGATGTCTATTGAAGAAACAATTCACAAATCAGTTGTTTATTTCCAAGCAGCTGTCTTACACTCAACTTGCTTCGGAGAAAGAAGAATTAGAGTTATGAACTTGGCAATTCCAACGTCGACTAAATTAGATGATATTTTTGCTTCTGCAGATCAATTAGCAATCACAAATTACTATACACATCGTGCGGTTGAAAAAGCGTTTTCAAGCTCTTTACCAGACGCTAGAGACTACTTGGTTAAATCTATAGTTGATATTTTAAATGTCTACAAAAAGGAATTAGTAGCAGGAAATGTATCAGGGTCTTCACCATTACAATTATCAACTAATTTAAGAATGTTGCCATTATTATTGTTCTCATTAACTAAACATTTAGCCTTAAGGCAAGAAAGAGTACCATCTGATCACAGGGCAGCTGCTTTGAATTTATTAAGCTCATTACCAATACCACATTTAATTAAATATATTTATCCAACTGTTTACTCATTGCACAACATGGGCGATGAATGCGGATTACCAGAGCAAATTGTTCAAGTTAATGAAGAGACAGGAGAAGAAGAAACAATTAATTCCACAGAAATTTTGTTGCCTGAACCATTAAACGATACCAAAGCTTCGTGGGAGAATTATGGGTTATACTTGATTGATAATAGTACTGAATTATTCTTATGGGTCTCTGGTGACGTTGTTCCAGGCTTAGTTTATGATTTGTTTGGTACTGACAACTTGTATAGTGTACCAACTGGTAAGACTGAGTTACCTGAGTTTTCATTTGAAGAATCTGAGTTCAATTACAAGGTACGTCAAATTATTGGAAAGATTAGAGAGCAGAAGGATTCTGTTAATTGGAAAAATCTTTACGTTGTTATTGGAGGCTCTTCAAATGAGCCAATTGAAATTTCTCAACAGCGTGATTTGATGGCATTAAGAATGTGGGCCTTAAGTTGTTTAGTTGAAGATAAGACTGCTAGTGAACCAGGTTACAGGGAATTTTTAACATCATTAAAATCAAAGGTTACTCAATAATCATCGGAGTGACATGTACTTTTTTTATTAAATATACACATACATTGTTTATTTCTGTATAGCTTCAACTTTGTTAGAAGTCAAAATACTTTAAAAGTACAAAATTATAATTATTCTTTATCATGAGTGCGCTAAACTACTTTGACCCTTCGATGACGTTAATTGCATCGATCAATAAATTGCATTCCCTGGTGTTTTTAAAGTTTTCATTTATGGAGTTTTTTATGCCTTCAGAATAAATTTTTAGGTTTTTAGCAATAGGGCCACCCCTTGCCATTGTTGCTACAATGTTCTTCTTGAATTTATAGGATAGCACAGGCCAGTATAAATCAAATACGCCGGTAATAGATTTATTACAAATCATTTCGGCCAAGAGGTTCCCTGTTCTGTATTTGTTATTCACATTTGAAATATCGCAATTCGATAAAATACTTTCTAGTTTGTCAAGAAAGTCAGATGAATTCTCTTTTACTTCGCTTATGATTGCATTGAAATTTCTTGGAGATTGCAATGATCTTGAAAGTTGTGTCAAATTCACTTGTGCATGCTTGTTTATTGTTTTTTCAATAATTTGAAGATATTCCTTTTCGTTTAACGTATACAACGCAATCAATTTATTTTGCAATTCAATATTATTAACAGAAAAAGAAACATGATGATTAAAATCGTTTGATATTGATTCACTCCATTCACTTATAAGTGAATTTTGTTTGTTAATTTGTATAGCTTCATAATCTCTAATTAGTTTAATGGACAATAAATTGGCATTCGAATTCTTAATATTCAGATTAGTTTGTTCTTTTTCACTTTTATATAATTGTGATATCTGTACATGGAGCTTTGCTAACCTGATTAAATCTTTCTTCGAGCCAGATTCATTTTCTGCGTTCATATTTAGCATTTCAATTTCTTCCAATTGCTGAACCAAGAACATAAAGTAACCAGCACCTCGGAGTAAATTCAATGTCAAATGAATTCTCTTTAGAGCATTATTTTTTTTCAAGGCTTCTTCGTATGGCTGAATAACGCCAGATTTAATTCTTTCGAATGAATTAAATACTCTGTCTACCAGTGGGTTGATTTGTTCATTCACTAACGATCTAGTTTTTTCGATCTGTGAAAAGTTCGACATCAATGATTCATAATTTGAAGATGCTATGCCAGCCATTCTCTTGTCACATTCATCAATATCAAATTGTAATTTCTTCAATGGTGTTAGTCCATCTAACTCAGAACCATCCTTATCATTTGTAGCTAATAGTAAATCATTTGCAAATTGAAGAGGTTGGAAACCAGCTTCCAAAAAAGCTTCAAAATCCTCCAATTCGGTTTTATTTTGAGTTGCAGATGTCATTGCACACTAAACCGTTAATCAGGATCCAAAACATGTTTTTCACTTTATCATGAAGTCGTCGCGAATGATATACAGTTCAGAAATATGGATTACGAATTTCCAAATATATTAATGTACATGTGCTAGTATATAAATGTCTATTCAGTTCTATATTTTGGCTTGCTTTGGGCCAGACTAGCGACTTTCTTATGCTTCTTACCACCTCTTTTATGAAACATCTTTTTCTTAATTTTAGCATCCAATTCTTTCTGTATTTTCTTATCGACCTTCTTTCTTTCTAGTTTTCTTTCACGGCATGCTATTATGTTCAATCTCTTCTTCTTCCCAGGTCTACTACGGCTCTTGGTTTTTGCATTATTTTTCTGAATCTCTCTTTCTACTTCACGATTATATTTTGATAAGTCAATACACTTCCAAGGTTTAGGATCTCTCACTGGAGTGATTATTTCTAATTGACTATAGATATCACCAGCTGTTACTGCTGCAGCAATAAATTGTGACTTGTCTTCGTCTGTGTATGTTGCCATATAATAGGAAAGAGGTCTTTCATTTTTAATGACCTCTACTGATTCTTCTCTCAATGATACTTTCATGACTCTATCTTTATTTCTTCCTCTAGTCTCTTCATCTTCTTCCATCTTAGAGAGCTCTCCATCTTGATGAGCAGAACTTGATGGTGCAGCAAATAATGGAAATTCAAACTCTTCGTCTTCTTTCTCTTTCGCTTCATCGATATCATCATTAGCTTCATTCATTTCAGTAGGTTCAGGTTCATTAGATTCATCTACTTCCACAAACTCGAATTCTATATTTGGCATATACTCTATTGGGTTTCCTGAATTCTCGTTGTTGGATTCATATTCAGATTCTGAATCATATAGCGATGACCTCGTAATTCTATATTGGTTAGTAAAAGCTGGTATCTAATACAAATTATGAATAAAATAAAGCTAACATGTACCCTAGAGTAGACTTACTTTTTATAATCACCCATGTTTATATTAGTTTGAAGCTGTAAGGGTTCTTTGAGATATATATACAGTTACTATCTGAAAGAATTAAATTTCAAAAATTTTAATATACGCACAGAACTTGATATAACAATCAATGAAGATTAATATTATTATACATCTACTATACAAATTATAAATTAACTATTTTACCATAATTGGGTCTTTGAATTATAAATAGTCTTCAAAGCATCCTTACGTATTTTAAGCTTGGGAGGGATGAAGCTCAAATTTTGTACACGTTGAGTATCAACAATTATATCTGATTCGTCTGTCGTGACTAAATTAGCTTTCGGCCTTTTCGATAGATCAGAGAACAGTTGCAAAGAATCTATATCAACGTGAGAAGTATTATGTTTGTCCCATATAACAGAGTAAACATCTGGATATTTATCTTTAATTAAGACCGCAACATCATCAAGTTTGACAAAATGAATCAATAAATATTGAAAGCTTGTGTGACCGTCATACATTAGCTTTGACATATCCGAACTTGGCTTTGATTTATCAATTCCAATCAAAGAAAAGAAAAGATTCCAGAGCTTAGACTTCTGGATTTTATCAGCCTCAATCATGGATTGCTTACTGATATCACCAGTCAAGATCGAAACATCTGTTCTTGTGAGCAATGCGAGTTGTAAATCAGTCAAGTAAATGTCATTTGCAATAGTGAAAGTATACAATGGCGCAAATTCCAAAATTTCTTCCTTCGTTGGTTCAATACCAAATTTAGTAAGTCTAAGGCCAATAGGATAATTTTCAACGGTCAATTGTTTCTCCAAAATTTGCCTTTTCTCTTGAATTTCTTTATTCTTTTGTTCAGTCAACTTTGCTAACTTTTCTTTTTCTTCTTGTTGGAGAATGGCTAGCCTTTTTTCCTCTTCGATTCTCTTTTCTTCGTCTTCTTTTCTCTTTCTTTCTCTTTCCTTCTCAGATTTCAAAAACATATCTCTTCTAGCTCGCTTCTTAGCTTCAACCTTTTCTTGCCAAATTCTGGCCTCTTCTGCATTTTTAGCTTTTATTTCTTCTTGAACCTTGGTAAGAGGGGAGGGTGAAGGCGAATTTCTGGTTGAATTGTCTTTGATGTATTTCTTATCATCTCTGGAAGCTTCTGACGAGGGTGAAAAAGAAAGCTCTTTAGATTTAGTACGTTTCAATTCATCACTCATGTCAGGCGTTTTCTCCTTATTGAAAAGACTACTAGGTTGTGCTTTCAGTCTCACTTCTGGCTCTCGACTTTTCGATTTCTTGAACCTCTTTTCATTGTGAATATCATCCTCTATAGGACGTGAC